AGACTTCCGGAGCCAGAAGATCATGAATCTGGCCAGGTGTTCAGGTGATGTCCACTCTTCTGAACGGGGATGGTGAATGTTCCTGGGATCAAACATTCAGAGGCCTGAATTGTCTAGGAATATCTCTGTACCCTCTTGTGGGTTATCCATGGTCGTGGCCATGGAGTCCTGGGGCTTAGGTGCGTCCTGTTCCGACTGGAACGACTTAGCAAAGGCCTTTTCCATAGATGCAGCCACAGCTGCTGCAATCATGGCCTGGATCTGAGGGGTTTTGTGATTCTTCCGTGGTCTGGAATAAACACTCGGGGCTCACCCAGTGGAATATGCGTAAGGGCACTTGGGCATAAATAACTGGAGAGGTCTGGGGACCAGGGGGTGGTATGGTAGTAGGTAATGGTTAACCTGAGAGGATATGTGACTGGTAGGTCGGAGTGAGGTGGTGAGAGGGCTGTGTCACTGGGGCTCACCCAGGAAATCAGAATCCTGCATGGACAGGTCCGTTCAGCAGCACATGAATGGGGGCTCACCCCGGCCAGAATAAGGGATAGTCCACCTGACTTAAACCAACCCCAAGTGCAAGGCACTAACCTGACCTGGTCCCACTGTGAGCTATGAGAAGGAGGCTGAGTTCTTGAAGAGTGTTCCAGAGTACCTGGCAGAGAAGTAGCTGGAGTCTGCAACAGAGCAGCAGTAGCCGTTTAAAATGGCCGTCGGACTGAAAAGCAGTTGAAATGGGGAGGTCTAGTACCTCCCCTAGAGTTAGGGCAGCAAAAAGGAATTGCACGAATGCCAGGCTGAGCCGGGTGTTCATGCGCAGAGAAGTAGCTGAACGCGAGCGCCAATAAATGGTGCGGGTGTTCGACGCACGAATAGACGAACGCGACCGCCTAATACAAGGTGTTCACGGGGAAATTGCCGAACGATAAGCGTTCAGTAAACTAAATGTGCCTTTGCGAATGAACTGTAAGATTAATGCCCTTCGTGAAGCGAAAGGACTTGCGAACAACGGTAAAAGGCGGGAAAAAGCCGCGAAGAGAGGTCAGGCTCTGGGGAGGTGTGGAGAAAACAGCGAGAATGCCGGTAAGTCCTCCTGTAAACCGGGTTAGGGGAAATTACAGCTGAAGGGTCCCAGAGCCAGGGGGGCGTCCCTGGAGTGAGGGAAAGGCGGAAAGAGCCCAGAAACAGAGAGGGTTAGCCCCAGAGAAATGGAGGTCAGTAGAGTAACAGGAGAAATACAAGCTAGGTAGTAAGAGAATATGATACAAGCTAGAAAATATGATATAAATCACTGTAGGTAAGAAGTATGAAGGACAGAGAGGATAAATCAAAATCTGTACTTATCTTGTGATGGAGCAGCAAAGAAAGAGGAAATGATGTAATATGACACGCCTCTTATATCCTATACTGCATTGTGATTGTTTCTCAGTTTTCACTCTTTTCTTTGCTGATATGGGAGTTAGTAAAGAAAGATTATGCAAAAGACGAAGTCTCCTGTCATGTGGTAAAATTTAATTTGTATCATGTATGAATATTGGTCACTACGACAGCACCATTCATGTAGAATGCATTTTTCGGCCTCCAATCCTTTTTTCTTTACCAGCAGGATCAGAGTCACAACAAATGGATGGTACACTATTACCCACAACACATAAAGAGCCTCACAGTAAACAATATAAAGTTTAATAAATTACTGTAGCTCGTAGATACACTCACCTACCCCTATATAATAGCAATGGTAATTGTAGGACGTGAATGATAACTGTATTGTAACTGTATCAAAACTATATTTAAACTGTGATTGTTTTATCAAAATGTTATATGTAACTGCCATGTTCTAATTATAAAAATAAATAAAGACGGGGGAAAAAAAGGAGTCAAACTGTGATTTCATTGGTAATCTTGAAGTGTCGAGATTGAGTGGTTGATATGCAAGGTTGACAAGTAAGGAACTGGCAGGTTGAAGGTTATGAAGAGCTATTCCAAGAAGATGGCATCAAGTGCATCATTGGAGGCACAGAAGGCACTATATAACCACCACCACCCACAGGAAGGCATCTTAGCAGCAACTGGAGAAAAAGGTTTGAATATGAGAGTAAAAGTGAAGATTGCGAATGAGCAAGATTGGATGCAACTGCATCAGGCTGTAGTGGTTTTGTTGCTGTTAATGATCTTTAAGACATCAAGGTTTAACCTGGAATCCATGTCAAACATAGTATTAAGAGTTCTGCTTGATCTTACTGACCATCTCGGAGTACCAGAATAAATACATATT